CACCCAGCGCAGATCGGCCTTTCTTTCTTTCTTTCTTTTTTTCAGATCGGCCTTTTTGCTGGACAAATTCCTCTGCACAGACACCCGGCGCAGAACGGCCTTTCTGCTGGAGGAATTCCGCTGCACGGACACTGGGCGGCAGACCAGCCTTCGGCGGTCCGTCTGTACAAAGTAAACATTGCTTTACTCTAGACATCGACATAATTATGTCACTTAATCGTGTTGGAGCCTAAACCGAATGTGTAATCGTGTTCGAGCCTAAACCTGACGGGTAACGGTGTTTGAGCCCTACATTTCAACTAAACCCTGGAGCAAGCAAGTCAATCAATACCCATTTAGCCCCGCCCCTCCCCGCCCCCTTCTAAACATTGGTTTACCAAAGACACCCGTCCTGACAGCCAACTTCTGTAAAGGGCAAGCTACTTCCTCTGTTCCCTTCACAAGCTGCCCTTAAACCCAGCCTCTGAGCTGCATGGCCGTTTTCAGATTGTCTTCCTAGGAAGGAAGGGCTCCGAATTTTCTCTCAATAGTTGTTGTGGCCAAGAAGCAGGTTGGGGACAAGAGGCCTGGTGGCCCCCCAGGCTGGTGAGTAGCGGGTGCTGGTACCCCTGAGCCCACTGCCCTGTCTGCCTCCCCCAGGGCCTTGGAGTTCCAGGGTAAAGCTCAGCTCTGAGCTCCACTCCCTTAGTGTGGAGCTCTCTGACCCTGAGCCATCTCTGTTGAAGCTTCTTGATAATTCATCCTATTCTACTGAAACCAGGAGAACTCGTGAGTGTCTGTCTGTCTGTATGTTTATGTATCTATGTATGTATAATATGTATATGATTTTTATTTTTATATATTTTTTATTGATTTCAGAGCAGAGGGGAAAGGGAGAGATAGAAATATATTGCCGGCACTGGTTTGGCTCAGAGGATAGAGCGTCGGCCTGCCGACTGAGGGGTCCCAGGTTCAATTCCGGTCAAAAGCATGTACCTTGGTTGCCGGCACATCCCCGGTAGGAGATGTGCAGGAGGCAGCTGGTCGATGTTTCTCTCTCGTGGATGTTTCTAGCTCTCTATCCCTCTCCCTTCCTCTCTGTAAAAAATCAATGAAATGCATTTTTAAAAAAAGAAATATCAATGGGTGTCTGTTTGGAGAGCTCAGTTCTGTATAAATAGACACAGGGTATTCCAAGGTTTCTGGCTCACAAATCGCTGTTTCCATTGTTCTCCCGGCTTCTCTCTCTAAAAGTAAATAAATTGTTTAAAACCTGCCTCTCTCTGGCGCTGGCTAGAATGCTCAGGTGTTTAGAACATACTCCGGATATAACAAGGTTTGTGGTTGAATCCCTGGGTCAGGGCACATACAAGAAGCAACAATGAATGCATAAAGAAGTGGAAAAACAAATGGATGTTTCCCTGGCTCTCTCTAAAATTCAAGAAAAATTTTAAAAAATGACTCTATTGGATTTGATCCGAGTTTTCACCACGAATAAAAAAAAGTAACTGTCTCATCCCATTGCAGGGGGATGAATTCCGCTTTCTGATTTTCAAAGCATTTACGGGAAATCAGTTGTGTTGGGCCAGTTATGTTGCGCAATGTCCGCCCCGGGGATTTCCAAGCCTGGTGATCTCTGATTGGACTTTACCCCGGGACCCGCGTTGGGTGTTAGCACCGCTCGGTTACCCCGTCCGCGCTTTCTGGGTGGCAGGTGTTTGTTTGTTTGTTCGCAACTTGGTTAGTCCTGGCGCCATTAGATGCTCCGCAGCCCTGGGGCCTCGGCCTTTTGTCTGGGGCTGCTGGGGACTAGGTGCGCCCAGCGGACTTTTTGTCAGAAGCAGTTTCTCTCTTGGTTTCTCTTTGTAGCGCCAGGGGTGCTGCCCAGCCCCGGGGAAGGGTTTCTCTGTCCCCCTTCGCGCTGCCCCCGACCCTGCGGGGTGTGACTGGCTGTGACGCCCCCGGCAGGAGCGGATTCGGGGCCGCAGGCTCCCTTTAGCCGCCTGTGATTTCACCCGCGCAAACCCTGCCTCCTGGGGAAGCGACTTCAGCGCAGCAAACGCCTGCTTGGCAGGGAGAGTGCCTTCCCAGTCCTGAAGTGCCGGTTTAGGGAGCAGTGGACACTGGCTTCCTGAGGCCGCGACAGGCAGGGCTGCCCCTTCAATGGTGCGAGCTGTTTAGTGGAGGCAGTTTCTCCCGGAATGATTTGCTCTTGAGAGAGCAAGCCGGGCAGTGGGGGCTCACAGGGCAGCCTGAGCGAAGAAATGGGTAGATCAGGACAATCCTATCTATAAATGACTGAGCTCTCTGGCCAGGGCCGATATAGTCACTTTTTAAACTATTTACTTTCAGAGAGGAAGACGGGAGAACTATGGAAACAGCGATTTGTGAGCAGGAAACCTTGCTATACCGGAGACACCGATATACTCCCGTTCCCCAATCCCCTGGCTCCAGGAAAGTCCCGTCCTGACAACCAATCGCTGCAAAGGGCAAGCTACTTCCTCTGTTCTCTTCAGAAGCTGCCCTTGTCTTCCTAGGAAGGAAGGGCTTCGAATTTTCTCTCAACAGTTCTTGTGGCCAAGCAGCGGGGTGGGGACAGGAGGCCTGGTGACCCCCCAGGCTGGTGAGTAG